ATTTCCTGGACCCGAATCCGACCCGCTTCGTGTTCGGGTCAACTCGACACGCCCCGTTATCCATTGCAAGCGGGCTGCGGCGAGGGTTCACAACGGGACACGGTGCGGAGGGCAGGCGGCAGCGGCTCGGGTTTGCAGCGGGACGCGGTGCAGCGATCGGGCGGCAGCGTCGCGGCGGGCGGGCGGCAGCGACACAACGGGCGGGCGGTCATTTCTATGAGAGAGCAAGCGGGCTGCGGGCAACTGCGCATGCGAAGCGACGCACGACTCGCGAAGCGACACAGCACGGGAACTCCCAAAGCGATGCGGGCAGCTTCGGTCAGGCCCAATCAGGGCGGGCAGCATGTCATTTATGATCATTACCGGGTTTTTGGGTCAACCCGAACCCGACCCAAGTTTGCAAACGGTTTGAAATCCTTAACCCGAACTCGACCCGGTTCGGGTCAACATGAACCCGAAATTTTTTGGTCGGGTTCGAGTCGAGTTTTCGGGTCGTGTCCAATATTGCCACCCCTAATTGACACTACTGATTCATTTCCAAATGTTGTTCTAACTTCTAACATAAATCCATACATGACACACAACTCTATTATGCTGAAGAGATTATTACATGCGGAGTCCAGATCGGAGAATCATCCAGATTCTGTGAGGGAGCATAGTAAATACAAAGCAAATATACAATTTTATTTTTTGCTGTGTATTTGATGTGTGCCCTCTCAAAATTCGAATAATTCTCCCGTCTGAACTCTGCACGTAATAATTTCTCATTATGCATGCCACTGTTTAGGCCAGGGTCAAGCTCAAACACCATGTGCATGCTCAAAATGATTCTAATGCATCGAATCCCAAAGCTCTTGCTACTTCATCACATTTCATTGACGCTGATGAAAGAGAAGAGCAGTTCTTAAAGAGAGGATATGAAAAGATTGAAGAATGTAATCTTAATCTCTATTCCGATACAAAGGATATATATATATATATATATAGTGAGTGGCCACATTACAAGATAACCTATAGTCTAATGCCATGCCATCTCTACACTAAATAAATATACATAAATATTTATTTAATATGCTCTAATACGCCCCTACAAACTGATGGTGGTTGAGTAACCATTAGTTTGAGTCGTAGTTTATGAAACCTTGGCGTAGAGAGAGAGATTTGACGAAGATGTCAACCACTTGATCAATGGTACTGATAGGAAGGAGACAAATATTCTTCGTTTGTATGTGATCCCGTGTGAATTTCTGATCTATTTCAATGTGCTTCATACGAGCATGAAAGACAGGATTATTGGCTAAAGCTATCGTAGAGGTGTTATCATAATACATGTCTGTAAGAAAGTTTTGTGCTATCCCAAAGTCTGTAAGAAGTCTTGAAATCCAAATGATATCCGATGTTAAAGCTGCAAGAGCATGATATCAGTGGAAGATCTAGACACGATGTGCTGTTTTTTAACAGTCCATGAGATGATCATTTCTCTCTGAAAAAAATAGTAATCTGATATTGATTTCCTAGATATAAGATTGTCAGCCCAGTCAGCATCTAAAAAGGATTTAAGGACTAGATTAGTGTCCTTGAATAATGTAATCTTAATCTCTATTCCGATACAAAGGATATATATATATATATATATATAGTGGCCACATTACAAGATAACCTATAGTCTAATGCCACATCATCTCTACACTGAATAGAGATACATAAATATTTATTTAGTATGCTTTAATACGCCCCTGCAAACTGATGGTGGTTGAGTAACCATCAGTTTGAGTCGTAGTTGATGAAACCTTGGCGTTGAGAGAGATTTGGTGAAGATGTCAGCTACTTGATCAATGATACTGATAGGAAGGTGATGAATTAATACTGTTAGTTTGTATGTGATCCCGTGTGAGTTTTTGATCTATTTCAATGTGCTTCATACGAGCATGAAAGACAAGATTATTGGCTAAAGCTATCGCAGATGTGTTGTCATAATACATGTATGTAGGAGAGTTTTGTGGTATGCCAAAGTCTATAAGAAATCTTAAAATTTAAATGATATCCGATGTTAAAGCTGCAAGAGCACGATATTCAGATTCTGTGGAAGATCTGGACATGTTGTGCTTCTTTTTAACAGTCCATTAGATGATCATTTCTCCCAGAAAAGAACAGTAACCAGATGTTGATTTCCTAGATATAAGATCACTGGCCCAGTTAGCATCTGAAAATGATTTAAGGACAAGATTAATTTTAGTAATAGGTAAACCATAGTCAAGTGTACCTTTGATGTAACGTAGAAGTCTTTTGAGGAGATGTATATGTTGAGGGAGTGGATTGTGCATATGCTGAGATAATAAGTTGACGCTATAGGTAATATTCAAACGAGTAAGAGTCATGTATTGAAGAGATCCTGTAAGCCATATGTAGATAGTAGGATCGGTAAGTATAGAGTCTTCCTTGAAGGTCACTGTTCGCGATCATCCATTAACAACCACAGAGCCCGCTTAGTCGCCAAGGGTTGCACTCAAAAAGAAATCAGCAACTTCTTAGAGACCGTTTCATTCGTGGCTAAAACATCACTATCAAAATGCTCCTAGAGGCTTAGTTTTTAGCGAGAAGTGGCCTCTTTACTAACTGGACCTCAATAACACCTTTTTGCATGGAGACTTGTTCGATGAGGTATATATATATATGGACCTATGACCAAGTTATACGGGTAAAGGGAAGAGAACATATCAATCAATCATAAAAAGGGTTTAAATAAATTTTTGGCCTTAAATGAGCATTGAGATGATGGTATGCACAACTATCCCATTCATTGATTCACATTGATTTTAAAATGTACAAATTTGACTCTGCATTTCTCGCAAATGAGGGGGCAATATTAACGTTAAATAAGTTTGCCTATAGCTTATGGTGTATGGCTTAACGTGGACCACCTTCTTTAATTTACTTTATTGTAACATTTTGTATTTCATTTACGATTGCTAGCCCTTCATTTATTAACTCCCAAATAAAATTCTTCATCAACATTTATCATATCATCAAAATATGTAGTAATTTGATACCTCTTATTCAATAGCTCATTCGAGAAATTGAAGCATCTAAATCAATCATCTATTTGAAGCATTTAATATATTATTCTTATATATCATTGTTGCGTCCTGGAATACGCTCAGTTTGACTATAAGCTCGCTGAAATCGGAGTTCATATGCTCCCGAAATTAATTTTTGAAGTTTCCAACAAGTTTTTGCCTCGAGATTCGTGCTCGTCAAAGATAATTTTGGGATAACGTATCAATCATAATATTATTATAAACACATGAATTCATTACAATTTAATTCAACTTATTAAAAATGATCTATTACACATGAATTTTAATTTTTGTACTAAAAAGTTGTTAAAAAAAGAAGTAAAAAAGCCGTCCCAAACAAAATATAAAATTGGTGGGTGGCAGTCAAACCACGCTTCCTTCCCAAAAATCTCAAGTGCTATTCCTCGACTCATCAATTGGTACTTGCAAATACATTAGTGGGGTTGGAATCAGCTTTATTATCAAATTGACGTATACATAAATCACATGCAAAAATCCAAAATAAAATTTATTGACTTATCAAGGGGGTAGGTATTTAAATTTTTTGTTGAACCGCTAGAGTAAAAGTAAAAATGTCAATGTTCAATTGAATCATACAAGGGAATAATTATTAAGTCCGGACACCTGACGTAGCTCTACATCTAAACGCTAATAACATGTCGCCACGTGCTCTTATTCTTTACCGCGCGGCCCGACCCAGATCGGAACCCGGTATTGCTATGTTCGGGTATTGCTAGGTATTGATCTTGACAGATTGATATTTCTCATTATTGCCAACCAATACCGAGCAATACCAAGCAATACCTAGCAATACCCCAATATGCACAAATCAGCCAATACATAGCAATATCGGGTCCAGGTCGTCGGGTCGTGCGGTAAAGAGTAAGAGCACGTGGCGACATGTTATTGACGTCCGGATGTAGAGCTACATCAAGTGTCCGGACCTAATAATTATTCCATACAACGAGCTTGAGCACGAACTTGTCCTTCGAAAATCCTTTTTTATGATATTTATTTTGAAATCTTATAAGTGGCCGGTCATGCATTGGAGCAATTATTAGGTCCTTTCACTGGATGTAGAGGAATGTTCGGTTTTAGACAAAAATAGGTCAAAAAGTGCAAATACCGAGTTTTTCAAAAAACTCGGTATTTTTTCAAAAAACTCGGTATTTGCACTTTTTTAGGCAAAACCGAACCTTCCTCTAGGTCATTGCACCGGACCAAATAAAAATCCCATGCATTGAGAGATTTTCCTTAAGTTGTAATTTTCTATGTGTCAAATTTCTCTAGGACCATAACTTTGTAAGACATAGAATCATCAACTACCAAATATAAGAGATTAAATGACATGATTAACAAAGTTAATTCATTACTTAATCAAATTTCACATAAATTTTCATATCCGAAATAGACTATATTTAAAAATATTTTAGAAGACTCAATGGCTCCGATTATAAATTTATATTTAAGATTCTAATTGATGAGATGAATACAAAATAAGCAATTTTGAATAAAAATTAAGATTTTGTCTAAGCGATGCCATATTATTATTATTATTTGGACGGACCATAACTTGAATACAAAACTCTTTAGACTTAGAGACCAAATAAAATGGCCCACGGCACTTTTTTGTTTAGTACCGGTGCTCATTACCACTATCTACCAGATAATGTGACACATTTTGGTTGATCTCCAAATCATATGATGTCCGCACATAATATTTTCTCTCAAAACACAGTCAAAGTCAATTTGTTTTTAATTGACATAAATTTAAATAAATCAAAATTAAGAGAGTAGGCTGGTCGTTCAATACCGGTACCCGATATATTATCGGCCCGAATCACGAATTTTACAGTCCACCTGTCGTGCAATCATGCTAAATCCCCAGGTTATTTTTTCCCGCATTTAAAGGTGGCTTGGTATTTGGTAAGAGCCTTCTCTTTCTCTCTCCTATCTCTCTCATCTCCATTTCGATATTTCGATGGTGGTGTCGGGTCGCTTCTGCTCATACTTGAACTCTTGCACCTCGCCGCCTCTACTGTTCTCCTAATTCCCGACGGCTGGAATCCTCTGTTGAAGCTCAGTAAGCGTATTTCCGATCCAGTTATCCCTTGCTTTAAACTGGGTCACTTTAGCTTAGATTGCATTTTTCTTGTCTTGTTCTGCCGAATCCTTGCTGCGATTAGGTGGTGTTAGGGCAAGGGTGTACAGTGTTTGTGTCTTGAGTTTTTTGTCCCTTGGATTTTTTCGCTGATTTGCTTGATTTTGACTTTGAAAAGGTGGTGCTAGTTACTTTTCCTTGCCTAGGGTTTCTTTCGGTTTGAGCCTTCTTTTTCTTAATTTTATTTTTTGGAAAATGAAGACGTCCGGTAATTTGAGCATAAAACTATCCAGGCGTTGAAGTTCCCGGGTTTCTCTTTGTTCTTGATAGTTTTCAAGCGGAGCTAGATACTGGAAGTTGACAATATGGAGTGGCTTTTTGAAACCAGATCTGGAGCTCTTGGGTTTTCATTGATCCTTTAAGGATGATTTTCTTACGGAATAAGCATGTCTAAGTTTGATAGCGTGATAGCGAGGATGGATCAGGGAATACGGAGTTGGTAACTGCAAATTAGAATGGGATAGTCCGTTATTTTAAGAAAAATAGTAAGTAGAAAATGGAAGCTTATTATTGTGAATTTGTATATGGGAGAAATTGGAGTATCAATCTATTTATATGAATTTTAAATTGCATTGGGGGGGAATAGTCCGATGCAATTGGCATGAATCACTTCAAGAATATGAACATCTAGAAAGTAGTAGATATTTTCATATCTCTTTGTTAGATCCTTAAAAATAGCAATGCTTCCTAGTTTCAACAATTATATTAAGGAAGCATTATTTAGTGTACTTTTCTTTACAAAAGGTCTTATTTTGGCTAATGTTGTAAAAATCACTAGGCAGTAGGCACTTTAAATGCAATATGGCTGTCCAATGCCTGAGGCATTAGGCAAGTGGCTGAGTTGAAAAGAAATGATTGAATTACTTATGAAGTTATGTTAAGTATGATAACTCTTGTTTTTAAGACCATGATTTGATAATCTTCACATAAAAGTTAGCTGACGAAAAAAATAAATTTCAACTTCTACCTGTATTCCAATTTCAAAATTTTTGGTAGATAGATTATCTTAAACAATTGTAAACTATTTAAATTTGTAGTATGTATGACCTAAGGATGATCTAATCGTCTTTACTTTTTTTTTTCCATCATTTCCTTCATGCATGTTATTTTTTCCCGTAATAGATTTGTTGCCTTCCATCTCTTCCTCTATCTCTTTGCAACCTTCTTCATTCTTAAGATTTACTACTATGAAACTTGAAGCTTTTATTTTTTCTGCAGTTTGTGCAACTTTTTTTCAAATGCACTTTCTTATTTATAATACTCCCACTGATCATTTTGCATTACCTCATGTCAAATTACCAGCATAAATATATTAACTAAGCTTTTGTGTTTAAAGAATTAGCATCCATCTCTTCAATCAAAACTAGTTGTAATCTGATTGTGCCGAGTCAAGCATTCCATGGATTAGACTTAGCTTGGTCACACTAGAAGTTGAATTCAACATGAGCTCAAGCCGAACTTTCACACGCATGTTCATGCTTGGCTTATTTAGATTTTTTTATGATTGAGCTTGGCTCATACTTGAGTTGCTTAAATTAAATGGATGAGTACTTGAAACAAGTTAATAGACAATCTCATGAATTAATATATATTAAGTGAATTCTCATGTGGTTATCATATTAACAAATAATTTTCTAGATCTAAATGATAAGGAATTCCATAAATTTGAAATTATTATCTAAATATTTGATACAAATTAAATAAGCATAATTTAAATAAGGTAATAGTAGGATTAAAAAGAAATATTAATTGAAAATATTAATAAAGCCCTGAAGAGGATATTGATGTCTAAATAGTAGGATTGGAATGAAGGCACAAGGGTTGTTAACAATGAGTTGATGGCATGTCGGAGATGTGTCAAGGGCTAAGACAATCTATTTACTAAGGTAATCGAAGAAGAAAGAAGACGCTCAACTCTGATTCTCATGGAAGTTTGCTCTGATCCTATGTGTGTGTTAGAGAAGATCTATCGAGGGACAAGATGGAGCACCACAAACCGTGCTCACAGACTCGTTGAATGGAAGCAGGTTGAGAAGGAGAGGATGTTTTAAGCTCTAAAGACTCTGATTCTTAGCGTAATCCTAACGATATATTCATGTTGGCGCAATTCTTGGAACTCAGGCAACTGAAGAGTGGAGATTGATAACGATGAAAGTGCATAATGATATGTAATAAATGAAAATAAGAGAGGTGGATAGTAACATATCCTAATAAATAAATATATAATATATTAATATTAAATAAGTAATTATATTTTTAAAAAATATTAATTGAATGACATAAAAGCTACCATCGAGAATAATTTTAACCTTTAACAAGTTAATTGTTGGAAATTAAATTAGTTTTTTTTAACATGAATAAATAAGTTGGATTGTGTTCAAATTTGGTTCTTTGAACTCTTTAAAATTTAAGAATATTTTCCATGAAAAATGAACTTATGGAATGGTGCTCATGGTCATCTAACTTTTTTCTTCTGCTGTTTGCACTTGATTTAATTATAAACACTTCCAGATATATTAGGAATTACCATTAAAAATTTAAAACATGATATGGGAAATACCAAAGAATATTATTTTTTAAATAAACGCATAAAGAAATGAAGCTATTAACAAGCACTATAGTTGGTTTTTTAATATAGATGTTCAACTTTGATCCTCTTGGGAAGCAAATTACTATGGACGATGGGATATGGGTATAAATTTTAATTTATGTTATCAACCTGTTATTCAGACTTGGTATTCTACATGCTACGGACATAAATTTCAGAAGCCTTTTATACTTTCTTAATTTCACTGGAATTTTCTGGTCATTTCTTATCGGTCTAACTCATCAAAGCTATGACATCAAACATGCTCCTAAAAATATTTTATATCGGTGTTTTATATTTCATATTTACTCTTACGTGATCTTCATTTGCCTGTTACAAATGTGCCTTGTTATTTTCTTACTATAGAGTTGTTCTTGTTGGAGCCCTTAGTGTGGCTTTTAGGAATGGCCAGCTCTTATCCAAGCTGGCTATTATGTTAAATCAAATATGTAGCTTCTTGTACCTATATTTCAATAATCACATACTCATAAAAATATGGAGAAAATTTTTTATTGTCATTGTATCTAGTGTTCATTTTTCACGTAAATTATTATGGTTAAGTTTCATTCCACTTTTCATAATTCTAACAGTCATCGTGGCAGCGAAATTGTTGAGATTCCTGCTCCCTCTCAAATATATTGTATTTGATTTTTATTCCTGTCTTTTAAGAATCATGCCATACGGTGTTGAAATTGTTATGTGAAAGCGGCATATGCTTCAGGATTTCCTAAATTTAAGCGAGAAACGTCATGCAATTGTGTAAATGGCAGTAGTAGTAACTCATGCGTATCAGCTTTTGTAAAAACTAGATTATTTATTTGTAGTTTGTTGAATTCATCACTTAGATATATTTGGTGTTTTCCTTTTTGTCACCTTCAAAATTCATGAGGTAGATTGTACTGCCTTTGCTATACTAAATGGTATGTATATGGTTAATCCCTTTCCTATGGCAGGGCTTATTTATATGGCTGACGCACAATCAGTTACTACCCTAATTGATGCTACGTCATCGAAGTTGCAACAACTTCAGCAAGCATTTGCTGAACTTGAAAGCCATAGTGCTATAACTTTGAATTTGAAATGGAAAGAGCTGGAACAGCATTTTCATGGGCTTGAAAAGTCGCTGAAAAAAAGATTTGAAGAGTTAGAAAATGATGAAAACGATTATGCGTGCAAAGTATCAGAGACGCAAGAAATGCTGGAAAGGAGGGAAGCTGTGGTTGTAGCGAAGGAGCAAGCTTCACTGGAGAGGCTGCAGGAGAAACGAGATGCTGCTCTGTCTACCTTATTTGAAAAATACAGGAACTACCCTGCGGCATTAGCTGACTATAGTCTAAGTAATAATTATCCTGAGAGCAGTGTTGAAGATGGATCAGATGTTACTGTTGTTAAATCTGACATTTATGATGAAGCACCTGTTGAAAGTAATTATTTAGATGAAAAACCTCATTCACAGCTGGCGGAATTGTGTCAGAAAATGGATGTAGAAGAGCTCCACAAGTACATTTCTGACAATAGGAAGAATCTTGCCTCCATTCGTGAAGAGATCCCAATTGCATTAAGAGCTGCAAGTAATCCTTTTAGCTTGGTATTGGATTCCTTGAAGAACTTCTACTCGGGAGAAATTTTAGGATCTGATGGAAAGAAGGATGCTGGCCTTTTGGGTTTACGAAGAACTTGCCTCATGCTAATGGAATCTCTCAGTTGCTTAATGATGAATTCTGAGACGCTTTCTGATGAGCAGAAGCTCACAGATGAAATTAAAGAGCAAGCAAAAGCAGTTGCCAGCTATTGGAAGCCAAAGTTAGATGGTCTTGACATTTATGCCAGTGGTGGCAACTCATTAGAAGCTCATGCTTTTCTACAACTTTTGGCTACGTTTGATATTTATTCAGATTTCCCTGAGAATGAGATATGCAAATTAATCCCAGCTGTTTCAAGGCGTCGCAGAACTGCTGATCTTTGCCGCTCACTTGGGTTTTTACCAAAAATGCCAGGTTTGGGTTTTTTTCCCAGAGTTAATTACATATTTGTCCGATATATGACTGAATACAAGTTTATTAGAATATATGTGATGTAGGCTGCCTTAAGGACCATGATTTGCTATGCAAAAGAAATCATATAAGCACACAAGTTTTAGAAATTTATTTAAAAATGAAATTTATTTAAGTTTTTTTTTTTTTTTAAATCACAAATCCCCGATGAATTTACATTTAAAGTAATTAGAAAATAAAGAGTCGGTTAGCAAATTGCTAAGCTGTTGATATTTTCATAGGAAAAGTCAGATTTACTGGATGACTCCAAACTAAAACATTTCTATGTACTCTTTAATGCACAAACGCCAAACAATTTCAACTAGCCACAAACATATAGGTGACCCCGAGCAAATGATCACAAAATTTAATTGGATGAATGAGGTTATTTCATTCCTAAATTTAACAGTCTTTGAAGGGGAAAATATTTGGCTAGAAAATTTTTGGCTAACTCATTTCCAAGTGATATAGCCATGTGGGTAAGAATTTAACCACATTTTAGTATTTTCTCTCAAAGAAAAGGGAAAAAACCTATAAGCCTAATAGCATGATTGGAAACTCTATTATACTTAAAGGTTGTATACATTTCAAAGAAATTTGTTTTGTGTAAATTAGGATCTTCTATAGGTAAAACCCCCAAACTGAGAATTTTGGATCATAGTCAGTTTAAGTTCAACATTTTTAGCATGAATAGCATGTCTATTGATACTTTGATAAATTCTATGAACTAAAGCATTTGCAAAGTCTCTAAGGGATCCAGGTTCATCTTCTCCATTAAGTTGATCAGCCATCTCTCCTAGTTATCTTTTAGTTTTTTCTAAAAATTTAACACGTTTTCTCTATTTCAAGGTCTAATGGAACTAATAACAACAGATCTCTTCCACGCATACAACAATTGATTCAATTAACAAAAAAAAAATCACTTACAAAGCAAATTGATTAAAAACACTATATACAATTCCAACAACAATTTGATATCTATAGAACTCACAACAAAACTTGTAATTATTGTACATAAAAACTAAAATGAAAACATTTTATCATAGGTGTTACAATAAACAAATAAAAGTTAGTATTAAAATAATAATATTAAAATTAATATTAGCTAATAATGACAAGTTATTGATCGCCAACAACAGCGTTAAAAACTTGACCGGATACTAACATGGTGATACGCAAGTGTACGTACCGTTTCAAGTAAGAAAATAATAAAAGAGTATCATTTTCATGATTTTCAAGATTGTATCTTTATTAGGTTAATTGCTAACTTTTATGAATCATTTAAATCATCCTACCACATTCGATATTTTGAAGGAAGATTAAGCAAGACGTAAGATATTTTTCTTGTTTTTTTTTTTTTTAATTTTATTAGTACGTTGAATTTATAATTAATTGGATGAAAGTTTCGTTAGGTCTTGAAAATATAATTGTGAATTTGAACAATTCTAATTCCTGTGCTAATCGGAATACCAGCTATGTGATGACTTGCAACATATTTATTCTAATCACCTCTTTTGATTACCATTACATCATCTCCTTTAATAACTCAAAAAACTTAAAAATGCCTATGCCTATATTTCTAAGTTTTTCTTCAAATCTTGCTAATTGTTCCTATGTCTTCGTTGAGATCATTAGTTCACACTAGATTTTAAATTTAAGATTATTAACCAAATCACATATACTAAGAGTTGGGAGAAATAATTTTTGGCAGAAGTAAAAACTAGACCTAGTCTAACATTGCACATGGAAAATGTTTAAGGGAAGAACATTGGAAGAAATGTGAAGTGCATTTATGGTGGGATTAGGGCTACTTTTAAGGTGAAAATTTTATGGTGCTGTTTCTTAGGTGATTTTGGGTACCTAGTTGCTGCTAGAAAATTGAGTTTGGTGGCTAGTGAATCAATTGTATGATTGTATCTTGTGTTTTTTTAATTGAAGATTGTTATTTGAGCTTTATCAGTGTTGTTCTTGCATATCATTATTGTTTTCTCTTAAGTTTGGTGGCTATTTTTCACTATTTGGTGTTGATTTAGTTCTTGTGGCTGTTTTGAGTGCTGATTTGATCCTCAAATCATATTAAATTGGTATCAAAGCAAGTGTTTGGGCCCGATGGCTTGGAGAGAGTTGAGGCGTTTGAAGAAAATCAGAGGGGGAAGTAGGGTAGTTGTGAACGGATGTTGGATCGTTGAATGAGCATTTTTCAGTGATGGAAGGAAGGTTTGAGAATGTACAGGAAATGATGAAGCGGATGCTGAAGTTTCAAACTGAAGCGGATGTTAAAGCTTCAAACTAAAGCGACTTCATGGGAAGTAAAGGGGAATCAGAGAAATGACATGCTAAAGGGAGATGGAGAGGTGGAAATTTTAGGAGAGGAGGATGGAATACTCCATCTTGAGTCTCTACTAAGAAGGGGGATGGACAGGGAATATGGATGTAAGAGGGAATGGGAAGAAGAGAACTGACGGGTTGAATATGAAGGAAGAGAGGGATATGAAGGGAGAAGGGAGGAGAGGGAACTTTGGTGAGGCCCGAGTGCTCGCTTCATGGGAGGCATGGGGGTGGAAGGGGAAATTGAGGCGGGCGAGATCAGAAGGTTAGGAAGCTGAAAATGTCGATGTTTGAAGGCGAGGATGTGCATGGGTTGGCAGAAGGGGAGAGCTTATGGCGGCAGTTCTATGTCTCTAGTGGAAGGCACTAGCATGGTACATATAGGAAATACTTGAGTTTGCAAGTAATCCTATCGGATCTACTTGAGTTCGCAAGCAAACCTTACCAAAATCAGTAAAATCAGCGAGAAAAATGTGGATACGTCGTATAAAAGCAAGCGCACGATAGCAAAATCTTTATAGAAAGCAAAAGGAACAAACACCAAGCAAGATACAAGAGATCCTCAATTCGAGAGGAAGATCGTCTCTCCTAAAATCTCTAGACAAGAGAGCCTAGAGTCCAAGCGCCAAGAACCCTAATTTCCCAATCAATCAAAACATAAAACTCCTTAATTCCTTCATCCCCTTTAATATAAGATCTTTCCTAATTTAATTTTCCTCCCAAAACTAGCCACCCACTCCATTTTGAATTTTTTATTCATTTGGAATAATGGGGCCCGCCCCATTGGGTGGACCAAGCAGAGGAGGCGGAAGCCTCCTCCTCCTATAGACTATGTGAGCTGGCCCCCTTTGGGCCGGTTGGAGCTAGAGTCGTTCATTGTGAATCGGTTTAATAGGTACCAATGGGGGGAGACGGGGTGCGAGGTACCTGATCCGTTCGTCGGAGGAGTTCAAGGATCATTTATTGGAGCGCTTTCAAACAAAGTATGTGGCGTACTATTATGAGTAGTTCTTTGTTTTGACACAGGTGGGAACAATGATGAAGTACCAAGAGAGATTTGTGATTCTGTTGGGACGTTTAACCGTTTAGGGAAAATACCTGAGATGGTGTTAGAGAGCGATTTCATGAAAGAGCTCAAATCAGAGTTAGTAGTCGCTATGCTGGTTGCAAGTCCCCATGCCTTGGGAGTGGCTATGGAGTTAGCCCAGTTGATAAAGGGCAATAACTCACTTGAGAGGAGTAGCAAAGGGGTCATTTTTGGAGGTTCTTACCACACGACAACCACCTTCCTTGCACCTAGGGTGTTGACTATATCGGGACAAAGAGAAGGAGACTAAGGGACCATATTTTATGTGTGACGAGAAGTTTACACTGGCCATAGGTGTAAAAGTGTAATAATTGCACATTGCAGGTCTTTTTTGTTCATGATAAGGAGAAGATGGGTAGAGTAGAGATAGAAGAAGTGGTAGAGGAAGAGGAGCACTTATACTTGGAGGTGGTAGAGGCTTTGTTGAATTTTGTAGTGAGATTCACCCAGAATCATATTGTGAAGATGAGAGGACAGATAGGAGAAGCAATGGCGATTTTGGTGGATAGTGGGGCCACCCACAATTTCTTATCCAATCAGGTGGTTGACAAGTTGGGGCTAAAGTTGGTAGACACGGGCTGTTTTGGGGTGATGATGGGCACAGGGAAGGTGGAGAAGAGAAGGGGTATTTGTAAGGGTTGGTGGTGGAGTTATAGGTGATTCATATTAGAGAGGTTTTTTTCCATTGGGGTTGGGAAGTGCGATTTGATCTTGGGTATGAAGTGGCTTCAAACCTTGGGGGAGACTAAGGTAGACAGAAAGGCCTTAGCTATGGAGATTCAAGTGGAGGGAAGAAAAGTTGGTGGTTAAGGGAGACCCTAGTTTATCTAAAGTAATGATTTTCTTGAAAACCATGGTGTATACATGTTGACCTCATTTTTGTATGATGTCACTTTAACCCCTTTCTGGAGTCTAGACCCTAGAATTTCTTAGACCTTAAGTTTCAAGTTCCTAGGATCAATCCAGATTCATATCAATTCAAGTTTCAAATCCAGTCAAATTTTAACCCAATCTAGCTCAAAACCCAGGCTCCAGTTTAAGCCATGATTCAGCCTTCAAATCAGTATCAAACCTAATTTAGGATTTATTCAATCATTAGTAATCGTTCAATTAATTACAAATGATTAGGATAATTCAAACTTAAACTATGAAACCTAAAACCCAGTTCAAATTCAGAATTTCAAACGAAAATTCAAGGATAAAATGCTAAGTCCTGAAAGCCTTTTCTATTGAATTTTCAAATACTTCAAAACTCAGTCAACTGACCTCTGATTCAGAGTCTATCAATTGCATATTGATAGGACATGTATATAGAGTCAACCCTCCAAATTTAAGCCCATTTTGAGATCTCTAATCCCAGAAATTGAATTGAAATCTAAAGGCTGTAAAATCTTCAAATATTTACATCCTATGCTGCTGAACTTACCACCCAATAGATTTTGATCTTGAAGCTTTATCCAAAGTCTCCAATCACTTCCAAATTATTAATTCTGATTCATTGAACATTAAAATGTATTTTGGTGGACCCATTTCGACCCCCGGTTGACCC